AGTGGGGAAAGCCCCTCAATAAGCAGGTTATGACCTTCTTGTACCAGCCTTCCTCTCTATATCCTAAGAAGCCAGTTTATTGACATCTTCTACACCTCATGAGCCTGGAGTAATAGCTTCCTGAATCTGCTGCAGGTCATGATATCTGTTGAGTCCTTGTGCATCATTCTTACAATGTCACCTGGAATAAGTTCTTGTTTTCAGTTAAAACTGATATATTTTGTCGCATAAAATAGGTTTTCAAGGGTTACAGATTTTGTATTAAAAATGTTTCACCCAAACCCCTGGCTTTAAAGTCATCATAGGAAATTATATATGCACCAAGATGTGTTAATAAAATATTGTCTGAACAAAGCAACTGAAAGACAAGCAGAACGAGACAGCTGTAAGTACTTTACCTGCCAAAACTTACTCCTGTGTTCAGTAGTTAGATAAAGTGGTTTGTTCCTTTACGTCCTGCAGGCCATTCCTATGGCTGTATCTGGATATGTCAAAACATTTGTGAATGCAGTTGTAAGATGAGAGCAAGTGAAGAGTCATATCAGTTTTGCTAGATGGAAAATCTCTTCCTACAGTAAATATCACTTCATTTGGGAAAAGAAGTCCCATTCTTTTCCCTTTAGTGGCTGCAATCACTGCTAAGTGACTGTCGTGACAGACAACACTTATTTCAGAACAACTCAGCGTTTTGCTCTAACATGTCTATTAACCATATCCCACTGAGCTTTGAACATCTATTTTTAAGTGTCAACTGGAGAATTCAATTGCTGTTGTGAAATGGTACGCCAGTACACATCTTTTTATTTAAAGTAACAACAGTTGTCAAGCTCCGAGTGACGCAAATGTGATGAACACAAACCAACAATTACACAAAAGCAACTTTGAATGTAAGAGCTAAAAGCTGGAGCTGAGAAAGTTTTAAGATGCATGAAAACACTGATGAATGTTTTGCCTGCCTGATGGTGAATTCCTTCCAGAACAGTGAAGACTGAACGTGACAATTACATCGAGTATTTACAGTAGTCATAGTGGTACTGTTTTTGTTTGAGTGTCCTCTGCTGGACACCACATGGAATAACAATAAAGTCACCAACACACGTTGGATGGATTTTGCTTAGGAAACAGCATCACTACAAAATGCAAGAATATTTCTCGTGTTCCATAGTCACTTAACTAAAAAAAAAAAATAGGTCTTAATAAAATGCTACAACTCTGATATTTTTAAAAACAAATATTTCCTTTACGGCAACCCATTTGTAATTTAAAGCTTTCAGCTGACCCAAGATAAAAATGCTTCTTAAAAAAAATATTGCTTTTGTCAATTTTGCAATGGAAAAGTGTTGCAATGATTAGTTTAGATAAGGTGGAAAGGTTTTGCTTACAGTCTTTGGTTTTACTGTGAATTCTGATTTAATCTGGTGAAACTAGAACTCTGCTGTTAGACTTGAGCTTCTCATTCCCACATCAGTCTACCACATGGGCCTGCATACAGCATCAGCATCGCATTTTGGGGGCCTTTGGCATGTGGCTGTTCTGACAGCAGTCATCTCTGACTCCACTAAGAATTGCAGACTGGCTTTATCGGAAATTTTTCTTTATCTGTAGAGAATTTGGTTCAGTTAATCTGAATTCTTCTGCCTGTTTTTGGTAACCAGGTAGACACAAGGCACTTTCATATGTGTATATTAGTCTTTATTATTGTTGATTTGAGGCTTGCTATTAGTTTTAGTTTCTGAATGGTGTTATTATTAATTATTTAGTTATTCATAACATTGTGAAAGTTGTTTCCAAAAGAAGCTGTTCTGATTCATGTGCCACTAGTCAAATGGCTTTCTAAATACACGATTCACTCTCTGCATCAGGAGAACCTGGCAAATGTTCTTTGATCTTGCGATTTTCTTCTTTATTCATAGAAGCATCTTCTCTTCCTCCATTCTCTATAGGCCTGGAGTTCTTATTCTGAAAGTGTTTCTTTATCAATATATAAAATATTATTGCAAGCAAGTAGGAAGGACCTCTTAACACTGCTGACAAACCAAGGTAGACATACCTGTGAGACAGAGCATAGAAGATAGTGTCAGGCAATGAAGTCTTCAAAGACACATTAAAAAATTACCTTAATGACTTTTAAGGATCACATATATACTAAAAAAGCTTAGGGGAAAACAGCAAAAAGTCTTTGTGAATGGCACCACAAATTTGACATTTTTGCTTGCAAAAACTTCCATTAAAGAATTGATAATATTCTTTTTTCTTATGAAGATATTTGCAAAGTGAAATTTCTATCATCTTCGCTTTGTTTCTGAAGATTTTTGGTTCACTTTAAGGCCTTAGACTTTTTGGGGCTAGAAATCACCAGAGTGATTTGAGATCACCAGAGTGAGCTATTGTGTGTAAAAATAAAAATCACATCAGAAGTAGCCAAGGTTTGACTGAAACTAAAAAAAAAAATCTCTGGAATATTTCTCTCAGAGATGAATATTGTTTGTACTTCAGTTACTCAGTATGATTTTCTTTCATTTATTTTTCTCTCAAATGTGGTCAATGTACAAAGTTACCTTCCCTGCCAGTATGAATAAGCTACCTGCAAATAAGGTAAATCTGGGTAACTTTCCCCTTGATGGTAAATCATACAATCCCAGGTCTTTTAAATGGACTCAAAGAATATTAAAAATAGATAATTTATTCCAGAAGTCTGTTACTGATATTAAATTATTTTTGCACAACATAAAAACTGACTAAAAAGCTAAGAGTTTAAGATTTGATCTTAAGATTTCTCAGTTTCAGAAATTCTGGACTGACATAAATCTGAGTCCAGAGTTAGTATCTGACCATATTTTTGATCAGTGGCCTCACACACTACAATATAACAGAACAAATTGTACCTATCTGTAGGGAGGAAATGCCTGACACCTTACCTATATGCACTGGAGTCGTATAACCTGCAAGCCCCTCGCTGTCCACAGCTTGTGCTTCCCCATTTCAAGCATGTCTTGTCAATCAGTGCACCAAAATAAACTGGCGCTGGAATCCCAGCTGCAAGGAAACAAGCAAAAATATCACAAGATATCACAGGAGAGATGTCTTTTTAGAAATCAGCCTTATATTTTCTTCGTGGCAAGTTACTTGCTACAGTATTGGTCTGTATGGAGTTTTAAAATTTATTTCATCAAAGTAAATATAAACTGGGACACCCTCTCTGTGCCGTGGGGAGCTTCAGTCTCCAAGAAATGTGCTCTGATGGGTTTGGCCAGGCTTGTAGTCCTGCACATTGGTTTCTCAAGCACAGCTCTGAAAGCCACCACTGGTTTCCAGTGTATGCTAAGCTCCTGCAAGGGAGGGCCGGACTGATTGTGCATTGGAGCACTGAACTGATGCATAGTCCCCTCATCTATGCATAGCCTAAGTTATCCACACTGGCTGATAGTCCCTTCTGCCTGAAAGTGGGTAAAGCAACTGAAATCCTTAGTGTGACTCGGGCAGGTGTGAGCTCATGCTCTACTGCAAAACATGGCAGACATGGGACAAAATCCTAGTCTTGCTGAAGTAAAGGCAAGTATTAACATCAGAGGAATCCAAGTTTCAGTGTGATGTTTCACATTATCTTTGTTCCTACAGGACCATCTCACATTCTTATGTAGGAAATAATTATTTTGTAAAAACAGGTATACTCTCAACCTGTTCTACCCTAGGGCTCTTGTTAGAGTCTGCACTCAGTAATCTATTTATAAAGGTTTGTGTATTCCGATCGTCACTACTGTAGTCAGGGTATAATGGGATATATGCTCATTTTGGAGCTTCCTTAGAGAAGGAAGACAGGAGCACATCAGATTTGATCTTTGAGTCATTTTGAGTGGTTCTATCCCTTCTTGCAATGAAAAGAACGTGCTGGCTCAATGTGCTGAAGCAGAAGCCCATTGGAAGGGGTTCATTCTTCTTTCATAATGGTTGTTTCCTATGGACAAAATTGCTCCAAGAATCCCATTGGCACTGCTTGTTCTGAGAGCTGGGAGAGAAATTCTGCCACTCCATTATGTGAAAAATAAAAGAGGGCAATGTGTGGATACACCATTTTATCTGAAAATGTCCCATCACATTTGTAGAGTAGGGACCACAGCCCTAACTTGGCTCTAATTGTAGACATTTGTTAAATGACTGTTTATTTTTAGGCTTCATCACAAACCCATGTGGCTTGTTTCTCCACATGTATTTCTCTACATTTCTGAAATGCAGGTGTTCCTCTTCCATTTACAAAGAGAACAAAAGGAAGTAGAGAGATATTTTCTTGCCTGCCTAGGCATCTTAATCAACCATCTCATTAGCAACTCTCTAACAAAAAAAAAATTAAAAAAATCATTGCAGCATAATTAAAGGGAATTGAAATCTAAGCTGTCATCCACAAGGAAAGTGAAGTTTCAATACGTAGGAAACGCTCTGCTATGAGCAGAGTTGTAGTAGTGTTGAATGAAGTCCTATATGTCTTTTTGATCTTACTTGCAGGATTGTGTCTCAGTGAGGGATTGGTTGAATCATAAGTCTGAAAATGTATAGTGTTGTTTAGAAATTCAAGATAATACTTTAATTTTGCTTGGAAACTCTTCTCATTCTGGAAAACCAGTCTCCCAAACTGCAACACCATTTAATTAGCAAGCCAAAGATTTTTGAAATTGTGCTAACTGGTTTCCCAGTGAACTGAATATTGGACCTTCAGGAAAGCAACAGGGTCTTCAGAAACAGCCCAGGATCTAAGAGCTATTTCAAGGATACCTCTGGTTTACCAGTGGTGGTTGCATTGGTGTCATTTAAAGCCATACAAGCAAGCATCTCAGTTACAATTATTTCTCTTACCTAGCGTTCTCATAATGAGTGTATACAGACCAACTGCAAGAGATTTCAACTCTGGTTGAACACATCTGAAAGAAAGAGGGATAAGTATGAAGTATTTGCGTATCTAGTGCTTAGACATGCCTTTTAAACTGCAATTAGTTACCCTGAATTTAATACTCTGAATGACAGTAAGCCAGGCTTTGGAAGGAGAGTGCTTCCTACGTCTGCTGAGAACACACTAAATTATATGAAAAAGGTGAATCGATCTATTGTTTTCCATCACATAGCTCCTTAGAAGTCCATTCACTAAGCATAATTAAAGAAGTGAATTTTTAAAGTCATAATCACAGTCTATCCTAGTCTTACTGAAATGGGCTTTCCAACTGCCTTTACTCCCTGGCATATATTTTCCTCATTTGATGAGATATACCTTACTCACTTGACAGGAATTATAATATTGCCCTATGACAAAAATATTCCAAGTAGCTGCAATCATGCGGCATCTTTCTATTCTCAAATGACACACCTCTGTACAGTGCTGCATCTTGAACTGCACAAAGCATCTGGCAATATGACCATCTGTTTCATGAGGAACGACACTTCTAGCATCAGAAACAGACACTGATCTTGAATACCTTATATATCCAGCCTCTGCCATCTCCTTACAAATATTAACATGGTCAACACTCAGAAAAACTTCTCACAGAGATGAGGCAGGGAGGGGAGTTTGCACTCTGTTTTTCATGCTCATTTAGGATGACATAATGGCCACAGGACTACCATTAAATTTTCCACTAATGCATTTTTCTACTGAGTGAGCTTTCTCTTCAGGTTACTGAGCAGTATGTGCTAGCTTGTATATGTGGTTCTAAATCACATCCTGGAACTCCTGTATCTGCATACCTCAACAGACAGGAGCATAGGAGCCTCAGACTGAGTTCTCAGATGTCCTGAATTTCCAGAAATCTGAAAAGCACAGCCTTTTAGGGCAACCTGACATCCATAAGTCCTGACAATTACATGGCATTTTCAAAATCTATATAGCCAGAATATCCAAGCAGAGAAAGAGAATGTGTTCTGGAACAGCTGGGCATATGACAGGCATAAGAGAATCTATTTTGCAGTAGTTGGAAGCAACACACTAGAACCGACTTACAGACATCAGCAAAGAAAAGTTTGATGCTAACAGCTACAGACAAATGGGAAATGACAAAACTCATTAAAGAAAGCATGTTATACTGCAGTAGAGTCTTTTTTCCCTAAGGGAAAGACAGAAACCTAACTATTATTTCAATACTCTCATTGGAAAGCCTCAACCTTTGGTATACAGTTAATTTTACTTACCTAAACATAATCATGTATGCTGGGGTGCCTCCCAATGCATAACAAAAACCACTTAGGACTTGTATTACTGTATAATAAATAAAATTCTTTGAACAATCTTCACTTTTTGGACATTGCCCCAAGATGGCAGAGTTATTTCCTGTCCATGATCTGCTGGCTTCAAGACAGCTGCAGTTATGGAAGACCTGAAAGACACAACACAGATTTGGTAGGACACTGCTTATGCAAAGCATAATTCTGCCTTCAGACACAGGCAGAGCCTGAAGCCTTCCTAAGCATCCCATTCCTATCTTATCTGCTTTTCTTGAGACAATGGGCAGCAGCTTCTTTTCTTTCCTACAAGTAGTGCTCAAAGCTGGAAGGGATATTCCATGCCAGCATATTTTTGCCAGTGGACATCGCAACCCTTTTTGGAAGATGTTCAAAATATCTGCAGCACGTCTGAGGCTAGCTTCAGCCTTTGTGTCCCTGGAGGACAGTCGAAGGGGAACAGTGAAGCTCAGGGAGCTGTACCTTTTGCTGCTGAGTGACATCACCTATTACCCAACTTGTCTCCATGAAAAGCACCTGGATCCCAGTTCCCTCTGATCCATCAGAGCTACCTCACAGGTGTGAGCAGCAGCTACCTTTCAAGACACAGCTTATGCAGATCTCTGAGATCAGCAGTAGGTTTACTGGTATCTTAAGAGCAATGGTTTTTAACCAGGGCTTCGGGGGCTTGAGGATGGGCTGAGGTAAGAGGAACTGTGAGCCACAAAACTTAACCTCTACAGAGACAGACTTGTGCGGGTGGTAGTAGTCCCACTGTCATGGAAACTTTTGAGCCCTTCTCTCCTGCCTCCCACCTTAAGATTTCAAGCAAAGTTTGTCTTTTGAAGGACATGGCTGCACAAAGCAGAGAGAAACCAGCCACAAAGAAATATCTCTTGAAGAGAAATCTGTCTAATTGCAAAAGGCAGCTCCAGACCGTGTATCTTCTGGATTGATCATCTGGCATCAGAAAATATGAGAATGACATGTTCCAATAAGGCCTTAAGTCCATGGACTGGAGCTTCCTCTCTGGACCTCTGTGCATTATCCCCAGGACTCTGTGCTGAGCAGAAATCAGACAGCCAGAAAAATAGGCAGTATCGTGCCATTCCAGAGTCACACATGGAGGAAACAAGCAGCTTCCCTTCAAATCATTCTTCATACTTCCACATTAATGATTGGTATCAGGGAAGACATTACACTATCTTAGAGTACTTCGATGGTTGGCTAAAACCAGGGCAGCCGAAATTATGTTTATGAAAGGTAAGCATGAACAACCTTTGGGCAACATGTAACCACTTTGATTTGTTTATTTCCCCCTCTTGTGTTTAATCTACAGAAGATGAAAATTAACATATCCAACAAGGAGCTACGGATTTTGTTTAATGTACAGTAACTCAGAGAAATCTCTATGTCTTCTGTACTGTTGGTAGCCAGAAATCAAAAATACTTTACCAAATAGTCCCTGGTAACTTTGGTTTTCCTTAAATCCATTATACTACTAAAATCCTGATGTTACATGGAAAATAAGCTAGTCAAAAATCTCAGAAACTGAAGCAGAGTCTTACTGTGTTCTTTCCATGTCCCACCGAAGATGTGCACCCAGCTAGACATGCTGAAACGTACGTGAGTCCGTTGTCTCCACACACAGGATCCCACGCATTGGAGGCACATTTGCAGTCAGAGTTGCACTCAGAAAATATGGCATTTTCATGGTATGGGATGGGTTTGCTTAGAAGTCAAGGTATAAGAGTGTAAGAAATTTTGAATTTAATGCTGAGGTCAGTGGGGTTTCTTCCGTGTGACAGTGCTGCTGTTTTGGAACCCACCTTATATACCCAGGACATATATTTTCATAGCTGAGCCTCTACAGTACTGATCTGTTTGTTTGAGATTCCATCTTATTTGCACCAATATTAAAGTGATTACTAGATTATAAAGAACTTAAAATTAATTATTATAAATCAAATTAAAAATTAATTATTAGAAAATAAATAAAAATGTTGCTACTGGTTTTAGCTGGCAGTTGTAGACAGGAAAGAAGAGCGTTGGCACAGGCTGCCCAGAGAGGCTGGGGAGGATCCTTTTATGGAGACATTAAAAACTTGCCTGGACATGTTCCTGTGTGACCTAGTCTAGGTGATCCTGATCTAGCAGAGGGATTAGACTAAATGATCTTCAGAGGTCCCTTCCAAACCCTACCACTCTGTGATTCTGTGAAAAAGGAAAAGCTGAAAGGCTTTTAGAGATCAGCGAGACTACTTGCTAATGGAACATAGAACCAGCAACAGTTAACACAGTCTTATCAGGTACATCCTTAGCTATTGGGAAAAATGCACTAGTGGTAGAAACTAGATTTCCTGGTTTCCATAGTAAAAAATTCTCCTCTCTCAAAGCCCATCCTAACCCTTCCTAGAGGATATGGAGAATGCATACTTTCAGGCATCCTTTGCATATTGAGATCTACAACAAAGAGGGATGTCTTCCCTCATCTTCTCCTTTCTGGGTTAATTAAGTTTTGTGCTTGCCATCTCTTTCATCTCAGCGCTTCCAAAGCATATTCCCTGATTCACCATTTGTATTCTTAGTGAAAATGTCACAGAGTACAGGACAAGCAACAAATAGTTCTCAGGTTCCAATAAATAAAAACATCCTTGGCATCCTGCCACATTTTCAGCTGTGAATCAGTATGGCTTGATAAAGGCACTGTAGTGGCAAATTATTACACTGTGGGTAAGTCTTCAGGGAGATGCAGACAGGTCCATGCTAGTCATGAGGGACTCTGAACAGGCTGGACGTTAGGCAGTGACAACCCATGTGCTAGTGTGTTGCTGAGCCCCGCCGACAGCTAGATCCTAGCATGCATCCCCTGTACTGGTATCTTCCCTCACTCTAAGAAAAAATAACAGCCTGTAACTTTAAAACCCTGGTTCTACCCTGAAAGGAGAGAGCATCTTCAGTAGGCATAAAAGCTTCATTATGGTGCACAGCAGTCTGAGAGTCTAGCATGTTGCAGTCTTTCCATCTCTGTGCAGGATATGCTACCAATGCTCTCTGTTACATATGTTTCACCCTTTTACTGAGTGTGAATACACTTTGCTAAAAAATTACTTCTGTGGAGAGACAGCACTGTGTGAAACCACAAGACCATCTCCCACACAGTCAAACAACCTACAATGATAATGATGAAATTTTGCTAATATATTTCTAATTAATCTTTAACCAGTGTTGTGCTTTGGCAGGCTGACACTCAACTGACCAACAAAACTATTGCAATGATGACACATAGTAGTGTTCACTTCCTCTTAAGCATTGCAAAAGCATGTTCCTGTTTTACCTTTGATGGCATAGTACATTTTTTGAACTATTGCTGCCATGGAGAACAGCATACTCTTCATTTTATACTCACCCTTCATAGGACACTGT